GGGGGGGGGAGGGGTACAGTTTTGGTGACTCTTTCTTACGTAACAGCCTAGGTATTAATTTGTCAATAATCTCTCAAACTTAACTGCATTTGAAAGTGAAAAGATTTTTACATATGTTTATATAGAACAATGGCACCAATAAAACATCTAATTTTATTTAGCATGCTCACTTACAGAGGGCATGATCAACCTTGGTGGATTATAATATACAAGAATTCACAGAAAAAATTTTATTTTAATCCCAGTAAGGTAATAAATGAATTGCTTATAGCCTGCCAACAGAGATACAATGGATCTGTTTAGAGAACAGTGCGATATCCTAGTTGCGTGTGATTAACAAAGCATGGATCAATAACCATTTCTCTGCCACTGACTGAAATACAGACAGGTTGAATCATGCAAGCTCTGTGAAGTCTCCAGACACAATATCACTTCAGATAGGAGAAAATTAGCTTGTGCTTCTCAGAACAATGTACCTTATATTGAGCTTTTTTTTTTTTTTTTTTTAAATCTCACATTTAGCTTTGGAGTTGTTTTTGGCATGAATTGATAGAAAATGTAGTGTGGGTAATGGGCTGCTTTTATACCAACAACAATATGTTCATTGTTTCTTTTATTATAATTTAATCTTTATTCTGAAAAATAATTATGTGTAATAAAGCTTATAGAGTCAATTGTTGATGATTCAGAAGTTCTCAAAAGAAATGGCTCTTGTCAGAAGGCTTGCTTTTGCCAATAACTTAAGATGATATAACTTATAAAATAATGAAGTTGATCATCATTAGGGATTGAAAATCAGACTTAACACACCTGAAAAAGAGAAGAATATGGATCACTAAATGTTTCAGCAGCTGCCAGTCAGCTAAGCTGTTGAAAAGTTTAAATGGCTTACAAAGAAAAAACAGCCCAGTATAGACTGAAACTAAATTCATAATAATGGTGTGTGTGATTGATGAGTGCTTAATTAATTCATCTCAGTGAATTAATCATCATGCAGGGATCAACATTTAGTCATTGAACTGGCTTCTCTGTTTTCATCAAATTATTGCAATCCGTGATTGCTTTGGCTAAAGCAAACGAACAAACAATTAAACAAAAAGGAGAATACAATGATTATGAATAATTAAAAGATGGAAAATTTGATGTGTGCATAATTATCTGTATATATCAGAGATGGAGAAAAGTGCAAGGTTTTTAAGATTTTTATGTTCTCACTTTTAGGATGTAATGTCAGAAAATAATCAAGATGTTGATTATCTTGTAGGTGAAGTACAATTCTTCCTACAATCCACATATATTACTTTTGAATAACGTCAAAGTGATGCCAAGGCACTATGGTGATGATAATAACATTGTTTACTTAGTGATTAGTTTCTGAACTGATTTTTGATAGCTAAACATCTCCATATAATCACATGATATTGATGTTTCAACATGTAAATTTTGCTTTTGTCAAAGCAACATTTTTTAAATTTCAATAAAAAAAATTGTGCATTTATTGTCACATATTTCCCAAAACCTGTTTTGTGTATTACTCAGCAGCAGAAATTTGAGAATGAAAAAATCAATATTGGTCCTGCACTTAGCTAGGGAAGTGTTTTGTGCAGCCAATTATGCAGCAGCTTCTTTACCATAATGTAATGACTCGACAGATAATGCTGTCGGCACAAATATCACCATGATGTTTTGCCAAGACATGTATGTCTGCCAATCTCTGGCAGAATTTTCCAATAATAAATCTCAGAACGGATAATAGAAGATTGTGAATTAAATGTGAACTTTGTTTACTTGAATCATTTATGAGTAACTGACTGTAGGCCTTTCATTTGTTTTAGTCAGTTGGCATAGAATTCAGTGATATTTTTGAATACCATAATCAATTTTTATCAAAGAAATGGCAATATTTCAGATACGATGATGGTTTTTCATTCTGTAGCAGGTGATTTTGACATTCAGGTTTACTCGTACATCACAAAATGAATAACTCTCTTGGGCTGACAAAACATTGGCATTTGGATTGGGTAATAGAAAATTGCAAATCTAATGAGACTAACCTTTGTTGACTGACAGCCAATTTGATCATGGCATATATATTACTGATATTGGCTCTTATTATTCTCATTTTTATACAGGAGGCTAAATTTGCAGTGAATGAATACATGATACCCACATATTTATTGTTAATGGGGCTTAATATTGTTGTATCAGGGGTGTTTTAATAATTATAAATTATAATAATAATTATAATAGTTTATTGAGCTATAAATAATACAATGTCAGAATGCCAGCTTGCTAAAAAAACATAAATAAAGTACTTTAATGTAATAATGATATAGATGTTAATAAAAAGAAAAACATTCAGAGACAAAGTGACATTTAACTGTATTACTGTCACATAGATTGCCTTCTTTAAGGTGACAGTCGGTGATTGGAGAACTTTGTTGGGCCTTTTTGTAATGACTATTTGGATGGATTTCTTTTGGGTATAACTCTCTTAGTCTATGATCTTTGCAGATTGTGGAAGATTTAATGATTGAGTGAAGTGTACTTGGTTTCATATTGCAGTACATCAAGATATCAGTTGTCATGGTAACTGACTTAAACATGTGAGAACTGTTTGATTGAGTGTTCCTTCAAGTTGCATTAAATATACTTATGGAATATTGCTTTTTTGATGTCGGCAAAGTAATTTCTTTTTCTAATCTAAAAGAAGTTTTTAAAATTGATTTTGAATAATTTGGTATAATTGAAATTCAAAATTTAGTTTGTGTTCAGTTTTTTAGATTACATGCATATATATATGTATGGAAGTCATATGTTGTAATATGAAAATTTGGGTACTAGTACACAAATGACAGTTTGGTGTCTTTTTTCTTTGATTTTCTCTAAACCAAAACTCCCTACAGAGACTATTATAACAAAACAAACTGATTATAGTGCATTTACCAGAAAGGCTGAAAATTGCTTGCATGCAGTGGCACAAATCAATGATAGAAATATTCTGTTCCTTTACATTCATTTTACCACTTGATTCCATATGACCTTACCTATTGTCACCATGATGTTAACAAACAGTTCTATTACAATTGTCACTCCCTAATCTAATCAACCAGTAACAAAATTGGTCCCATTGCCTGCTGCTTAACTTTCCCAACACAATACACCACACAATGTTCAGCTAACTTAACATCTGTTCTTTTGTTGGACCCTCAGCTAGGCTTACCATCTGTGCTCAACTGAGAGAATTATTTCCCTGATGATTCTTTAACCACTTAATAAAGACTGTTCGCAGCAGTGACTGTTCTTAAAAGTTGATTTTAGACTAGGGGTGCTGTTTCATAGTCTAAAATTTTTGGGCTAAATATCGGCTGCTAAAATCAGAAAGCTGACTATGCAAAGTCTATACACTATAATATTTATCTAAGAGCTCTATAAATGATTGACCACTAACAAATGTATTTGTCATACCTAAATTTTGAGCTATTTTTAAAGTGTTAAGTTAAAAATATTTTTAGGACCAAGAAGAAGTCTTTTAACCAAATAAGCTACATGTATATATGGAAAGAGTGTCCAATACTTTTGTTTTCATATTTTTGTCTTAAGTAGGCAGCCTAACATGAAAGTTTATAAACATATTGTTTTCAAGGGTGAGTCTGGTATTTAGTCATATGGGGCTCAAGACCGGTTTTGAGTGGTTGGAATTGTGCCTCATGTGAACAAACCCATAGAGATTTTCTCCACAGTGTCACGTCATGATATGTAAGGTTAATTCATATAATAATTGGATGTAACAAGACTAGAAACTTATTTACCGCTGATTGTAATAGGATATGCAGTTTGATGCATTCTATAGAAAACAACTTGACTGCCAGAATACTTAATGAGAATATAAGTCGTTTTTTACTGATTTTTCATTGATTTTTATTAAATTGGATGCCTAGGTCTTAACACTACATTAAATGATAAATATTTCATGAGTACCAGTTTTTTTCTGTGCACGAAAAAATATGAATATTGATTTTGTCTCAGTTTTAAAGACAATTCTCTGTCTATTATGTATGGTATGTAGATGTGGTAATGATATAAATGATTATATGCCATTGTAACAAAATATCACATTTGATTATTTTGTGTTTATTCAGAATGAGATACTGAATTTGGTGGGATTTTTTATTATTATTCTTTGGAATGATGTACAAGAAAACAAACTGAAAAAGAATATATGAATGATCCAATAGCCTGAAACCTACTTTAGATCGACCTAACTCCCTGGGGGTTCACGCTAAATAGCTGTCAGCCGGACAGACACGAAAGTTAATTATCCCCTTACAGCTTGTAGTAGGCGGGACGGACTTTTAAGTCGGATTATCTGAAAGTAATCTAGTGAGACTCCCCGCAGGGATAGATCGATCTAAAATCTATGGGAATAGAGCCTTTGTGTTTTGTCTGTAAAGAGATACAGGGGGACTTAAAGTAGACTGAAGGCAAATCTTTTTTGAAGAAGAAGTCAGGTAAAAAAACTAGTTATGGCCCCACTGATTATCTTGAAGTTTTTTTTTCTACAGAGGTGAAGTTTGTAAGTGCCTATCGGTCAGTGAGGCAGAAGGAACGCGTGACCTTAAGGTCACCAAGGACACCTCGAAGGTCACTTTCATCATCATCAGGAAAGGTTAATGAAGGTAAATTTAAGTAAGATGTTTAATCAAGATTATAATACATTAAATCCTGATAGCACAGTTTTATTTTGATTTAATTTAACAGAAAATAGTTCTGTGTTTCAGGCAACTTGCAATTAATTCTGAACTAGTCTTTTGATCACTGTTAAAATGAATATGAATTTTAAAAAGATGCAAAACAATAACATCTGAAAGACATTAAAAACATTTTGTTAAATTATTCAACTGACTCTCTCTCTCTCTCTCTCTCTTTTAACCACAAAAGTGGTGAATACTTTTGGTGTATCGGAACTTTTCTGTTTTTCTTTGATTCTTACCCTCAGTCTCATTGGTAATGTACTCTTAAATGTTTCAGCTGGTCTTCGTTACACCCTCCGTTCTAGTCCTGCTGGCTCTCCAGTCATGCAGCGGAAACAGAAGCCACCTGTGCCAGTGAGTAATTTTTTTCAAATTTCATGCCCAATGTAAACGTGTTTTGCTCAGTTACAAGGACATATTTAAGTAGCACCCCGAGTTTCAAAGAAGACCAGGAACTTACCTCTCCTCTATCAGCATGTCACTGCCGTTTCCAGGGGCTCATTTTGATTTAGATGCCTGTGGCATGCAGAGAGAAGTGAGGAGTTTCAGTGCCCTCTGAAACTCAGGGTGATTTAGAGATCAGGTTGTTTGATATTTCATTAACTGTCCACATCATTTGACCACCTCTCTTATATCTCTCGCTGTGTAAGTTGTAAGTTTTATATGGGGAAAATGAAAATGAAATGTAAGTTTCTTTTTAAGTGTAAAAATATTTAATAAGCCTTAACAAAAACAATAATTATTTTATTTTGCTTGTAAAAAAATTAGGAAACAAATATATTTGCTTGGCAATTTTACTTTCTTGGTGCCTTCACACACTAAAATTGCAATAAAAAACATTAGTCTTGAAATTTAAGTTAATAGTGATGTCATGCAGTATAAACTGAATAAAAATATATAGAAGAATATTTATGGGATAAACATATGGCAATCAGTATGAAAAAAATATTCTAATTCTTTAGATAAGTTGAATTGAATTCATCTTCAGTTTGATGAAAACTATATTTAAATTTTTAATTTCTAGGCCAAGCCATCCTTGAAGACAAATGGAATAAATGGAGGTAAATTATACAACTGGAAATATTAATGGAAATGGTCAATATCTGAATCAACAGCTGCAGGGAAATGTTTTTTGAAATATTGAATTTGGCTGTAGATGAACATGGGATATTGGATTCATTCCAACATATCTAGTATATTCTTCAGTCTCAGAAATATGATAAATGACTTTGTTAAGCCTCAATTAATAGGAACATTATTGAACATAGGACATTCCAGCTGGGAATTGGTATTGAAACAAATTACATATATTTTTTTTTCTTTTGAATTTGCTGTTGTTTGTCCTCCTTTAATTGTGCCAAATATTTTAACTTTTTATCACGTTGATATATACCGAATGTGCATGGTAATTTTTAAGGTGGGAAGTCTGCAGAAATCAGTGGTTTGTGTATGTATATTGCACTGTGATGGCACCCTTACTTTCAGAGATACTCATCTGGTTCTCTTCTCTATCATCATCAAACTGATGAAATTTTTAGAGGGTGATATCTGATGTTTGCTCAACCCATCATCAATTTAGTCTATGCACTGGTTGTAAGTCTGATGTGGAATTCTTGCAAATTTTGATCTCCAGGGAATGACCATGAAATTGTCCAGTTCTTATCTTTAATGAAGTCACCTTTTGCACATGTACAAAATATGTCTAGATTACTCTGAGTGAATGAGTGGATAATAGTTATGCATCTCCTGGCCGAACATGAGATATGAACATGAGATATGAAGTGTTATTGACAATCAATATGCGTTGGTGTAAAAATGCTCTCTATCCTGCAGGACAAAATGGCATCCCAGAGGAGTTGCTGGAAAAATACAGAATTGGCAACGTCATTGGCGAGGGAAATTTTGCAGTTGTCAAAGAGTGCACAGAGAAGTGAGTGTAGATTTTGAAGTTACAGATCCTAATTTTTATTTCTATAGGAAAAATATCAAGGATAATTTTAGTTTAGCCCTTGAATCACTTTTATTAAATTAACAATTAAAGACACTTATTTATTCAAAATAGAAAATGATTCATCACGTGAAGTAATATGAATTATATCACAAAGTTGATTATTTCCAGGTTTTCTACATTTTTAGTATCCATTCTTGGTTTTAGGTACAACAAGAGGGAATATGCTTTGAAAATCATCAGCAAGAACAAGGTGAAGGCCAAGGTAGGTCAAAAGTATATTAACATGACTTTTTTTTTAATTTTTGGGAATGATGATTGCCAAAAACCCCATAATTGACTGATGTGCCCATATCCTGATAATTTAAAAAAAAAAAAAAAAACTCTTCTTTAGCCTAGTCCTTCTTGTTCTGATTTATTTGAAAAATCTGTATTTCCTGCAGGTAAAAATAGAAACAAAGAACAGATTACAAATGTATATATCAACATTCAGTATTTCATTTTTCAAATTTTTATAATTGTGATCAACATGAGAACGAAATGTCCATTGTTGTTCATTTTATTCTGAGCACTTCATATTATAGTTTGAACATGCATGACTTCATTGCCATTGTATTGGTCTTTTCTCTTTTGGTTTGTTTGCACAATACTGTTTTACATGGAGTCACTGAAGTGAGTCATTCATTTAGCTGGGTCGATTTTACCCTTGAGGTATAATATTTCATATCTGCTGCAGTACTTAATCCCCAATTCTTGTGGTTTCAAATATTCCACATCATTGATAACTGTATATAAAAAGTAGCTCATTCTCTTAAATTGACTTTTTAAAAAATGCACTTACTAGAAAACACACACACACACAAAATGCATGCATGTGGTATAAATTAATCGTAAATGTTCTTAACTAGGCTTTTATTATATTAATATTAACATGGAACTAGTTTGATGTTTTTATGGAGACTAGTAACAGACTATTTGGGGGGGAGGGGGGGTCATTGCACTCTTCACTTTAGGCTACTATAACACCCCTGCTCTCATTTCTGATGAAGATTTCTTAATGTGAGACACTGAAATACTGGAGTGGTAATAATTCTGAGTTTAGCAGTATAAAGGAATTTTACATAGAATAGCTAATGTTAGAGTGCTCTATTATATCCATCATCCTTGTAATTTACTCTCTGGTGGTTAATCTAATGTGAAATTCTTGCAAATTTCTCCAGGGAATGTCCATGATATTGTCCAGTTCCTGTCTTAATGCTCTTTAGACCATGGGGATTATAATTTAGTACAAGATGAAAAGAAAGTAACTGAGCAGTTTTTCAGCATTTTGTAACAATTAACATACCTGTCCATTAAACATAAGTATGTTATTATGGGAAGGTTTCAAATAGGTTTTCATGTGCTGATGTATACAGGATGCTGTCTGAAACTTATTTCGGTCTATTCATGACATAATGCAATATTTTTTTTGTGTAAACATACTTAAATTGACTTTATTGGCAGAGCTCCTTGTGATTGATTTGCATAAAAACATTTTCAGAGCAGCAAAGTGTATATTTCAGAAAGACAAATGGATTTCTCATTTCAGTAATGAAATCTCATTTAATTAGCCCCATCGTGATGTTATTATGCTTTATGGGTATGGACTTTTATGGGTATGGACTTTATGGGTATTAACTTAACAAAACTTTGAAATTGGTATTTTAAGTCTTACAAAACATTTTTTTAGAAAAATAATTAATTTATGTTGCGGGGATTTATTGAGTAATTGCCGTAGGATTTTTTCATCACCCTCTGAGGTCATTGTATTGATCGGAATAAAAATGAATAATGTGGGACAATCCATTTGATGAACATAGCTGCCCTAGTATAGCTTTCTACTTGGTAGGAATTCTTAAGTGAGCTCCAAGAGCACAGAGCTCCATTGAGGAAAAAGACAATATTTTCTTTTAATATTAGGTGGCCAAGATTCACTTGAAACTGTAATCATTTCTTTATCTCCTGAATGAATTACTTCTATCTTGAACATGTCATCAAATCTTGTGTAGAAGTGTTTTGGATATCTTCTCAGGAAAAATAAATTGACAAACCAATGGCAATGAAAGCAACCTCCTTTGATGGCAGAGGCACAATCATGCAATTAAGTAACAGAGAAATGTCTTTACTTCTAACTTGATTAGTTTCCTTCATGCCTGTAATAGTTGTTTTTATTAGGTCCTAAAACACTGCAGGAAATTATCAGTCTTCTTTTATTAATAGCCCTGTGTTATACAATAGATTAATGAGCATGGCCTTTAAAGAAATCAAGAAATTGGTTGAAAGGGGGAATATGCAGCTGCAATAAATTATTCTGAAAATAAATGTTAAATGTCAAAGGCAAAAACATCAGTGCTGATGCTTTGTAATAATGGTATTTTATCTTGCCATATGTAGCAGCAGGCTATCTTTAACTGATGCATGAATGTCACTTAGTATATACATGTAATTTTAATCAGGCCTTATAAATGAAATAGCTGTACTTGATTTTGAGCCTTCATTAGTGACATAAAAAATATGAGGCCTGTAATGAACTTAAGGTTTTGTCTCATAGTTCTTCTGAGTGCTCCTATGTTTAGTGTCCTCACAATGGTTAATCTGTTCATTTTTGGAAAACAAACCAATTGTTTCAACGATTGTGTTAGTTTGTCTTGGCATGTAGCAGATGCAAACATATATACACATACATTTTCTGAATGTCTAGATGAACCAAAATATTTTATTTCTGAAAAGTACTGTTTGATGCCAATCATATCATGGCATTCTTTTGGGGCATTTATTTTTTTGACATGGATTTATGTTAGTAGAAATACTGTATGAATAATGCTTTCAATCCTGACTATATATACAAATTATTGGAATATTTAAGATTTAAAATTCTGCTATTCCCCAAGCTTTTGATTTGTTTATAGTTAACCGATACTATTACTGATCATTTTTGCTCATATAAAGTTTTTTGTTTTCCAGAAACAAATGATTGACAGCGAGGTGTCCATTCTGAGAATTGTGAAGCACCCAAACATCATTCAGCTGCTGGAGGAATATAGCACAGACAGAGAACTTTACCTGGTCATGGAACTAGTCAGGGTAGGCACAAATAAAGGAACTAGTCATGTTGTGCCTGCTTGTCTATGTGTCAGACCCTGTCTTCGTGCTCGTATGATTGCGTGAGTGTTCTTGTATGTGAGCATATGAGTGAATTTGTGCATGCATGTCTGATTGCCTATGTTTACTCGGGTTATCCAAATGAGTGAATTATTAATGCAGGTGTGACTTTGTATACGTATATTACAGTGTGTGTGTATATATATATATATATATTTCATGTGCAGATGTTCCAATTTTGTAAGCACGAACTTGAGCGTGGATGAATGCACATGCATGCAAGTGTAGTTGTCAATGTTGAGAGGATTTTAGAGACTTCATCTGTACTTTTGCTCTTTCAATTAGTTTTGAACAGAACTGCATATATTATAAATTACACACCAAATTATAGAATGAGACATTTGATGATAAATAATGTACATGTATATATTGAATATATATACTTCTAAAATAAGAATTGTACTTGTAGAGAGGTGACATTTTTGAAGTAGAGTAACAGTGCACAATAAAAATAACAAATTGAAATATAATTCATATGACTTAGAGAATTCTGTTTTTGTTTACATAGGGTGGTGATTTGTTTGATGCCATATCCTCAGCCACAAAGTACACAGAACGTGATGCCAGTGGGATGATGTACAACCTAGCTAGTGCCCTAAAGTATCTCCACTCTCTTAATGTGGTACACAGAGATATTAAGCTGGAAAATCTTCTGGTAAGTGGAGGTTCTCAGACATCTGTATTTCAGCAGCTCGATGTCACTTTTATCTGCAGAATTATTGATAGCGGAACCTAGGGTACTATCTTGTAGTAGGTAGTGTGGGTAATGCTATTTTTGTTATGCTTTTTTTTTTTTTTTGGTCTTGTTATAAATTCACAGTGCCTTGTAGTCTGAATGCCATTTCTATTTTATCATTTCTGCCCTCTCTCTTTCAGGTATTTGAGCATGAAGATGGCAGTAAATCGCTAAAACTTGGAGACTTTGGACTGGCAACATTTGTGAAGGGAAAGCAGTACACAGTATGCGGAACCCCCACTTATGTAGCCCCAGAGATACTGGCAGAGACTGGGTAGGCCATATAATATTACCTTAAAGTTTATAACTGATTTAAAAGCATAATTTGATCCTGTTAATGGTTTGAATTTGGTTTAATTTGTTTATTAAAAAAATTTATAGAAAAAGGTAATTTAAAAGCAAAACCTTCAGTTACTTGTGCTGTGTTTTTTTTTCTTTAACACTTCATAAAATATGCAGTGAATATATTTTATTTAAAAAGTATGTGGATCAGTCTGAAATGAATTTTAATTATTCTTTCACAAAACAAGAATTAGTACAGTATATGAGATTGTTGAGGAGGTAGCATTTTGCAACTCAATTTACAGTTTTCAGTGAATGATGTCATTTCACCAAGAGTAAGTTGTTTAATTCTTACATTTACCATATGTCGTATAATCATTACAGCTATGGCTTGAAGGTTGACATGTGGTCATCTGGAGTTATCACCTATATTCTGCTGTGTGGTTTCCCACCTTTTGTCAGGTATGTATACCCCTCCTCTTCCTCCTCCTCATCTTCTGTCCACTACTAAGAGGAAGAATAACAAGAAGAAGAATGATGATTATGATAATCTTTAAAACCATGTTACATTTGCCTGAGTATTAATTGTACCTAAGATTTCCTTAATTTAAAGAAGTTCAAGACAATGTTTCGTATTTGTATCAGCTGTCTAATAGTAATTTATACTCGCAGATAGAATTTATCCACTGGAATGATGTCATCGCATATTATACCAATTATAATTAACTGTCTAGGCTGATGCATGTAACTGATGACTAATGAACTTTAGTTGGCATTTATACCTCACTTGAGTATTCAGTGTCATGTCATGTTGCACAACTGGTTTTAATTGTCTTTGTTCCTTCCTTTTCTATCTGCCTAATGGTATCTTTATAGTGCCGAGGGGATGATAATAATGATAAAGGATGTCACCATAAAAAGGACATCTGCGACATACTCCACATTGCCTTGTTTATACTGCTAGGCGTAAATGCTGAATGTGTTTTCAGTAATTAAAAAAAATATCTTAGTACACAATAGTATGTAATTTTGTATAGATAAGTTTTAAGTTTATTATACAACCCATTGGCTGAAATTTTATGCATGAATAGATAGATAATTATATAAGAACATGAACTATTTATTTTGTATAAATATTTTCTCTTCAGTCAATCCAATGACCAGGATGAGTTGTTTGACAAGATAATGGAGGGGACATTTGACTTTCCGTCTCCATACTGGGATGACATATCAGAATCTGCTCAGGACCTGATCGAGGGTCTGCTACAGGTCGACCCAGGGACACGTATGTCTGCAACACAGATGTTGGAGCACCCGTGGGTTGCTGTGAGTGTTAAGATTACACAAAGAGCATTAGACTTTTAAATATCAAATATGAAATTTTTCTGAAAATTTCAACACATTTCCTTTTATCACTAAGGTATACCCAATCATATCAAAACTCATTGACAAAATTTGAACTATATGCTTAGGTTTTGAGTTCTAAGTTTCCTATTTTACCAGATTTTAATATTCTCAACAGTTTTGGTTGAATTAGAGCATACTTTGGTGATAAATTGAAAATTGGTGAAAATCCCAGGAAATTGCATATTTTTACTAATTTTAAATAATTTTAAACCTTATATTGTTTTGTGTAATTCATGGGACTTCTTGCCATTTTTGTAAAGACGTCAAAGTCTTAGAATATAAAATGTTATATTTTTCCCGTTTTTGCTTTAAATATTTGGTTAATGTTATCAGATTTTTAACTGAAAGAAGTGTCCATTTATTTCTGATCTTGCTTCTAATAGACAATTGTAAATCATATTTGGCAGGATGACACGGCGCTGGACAATGACATGCACACCTCGGTTGCCAGGAAACTAAGCATGCACTTTGAGAAAAGGCAATCAAAATTCCCAGAGCTTTCTCCAGGAGTCAAACTTGTCGCTGTAAGTACTGAATCCAAGCAAGTTTGTCTGTGTGAAGGCCAATTTATTTCTTACTATCTGTTATTAACATGCAGTAGCTTCTTTATCAATACTGAATCCTTTAACAAATGAGATTTAGAAAAATGCTTATCAGGATATTTTTATTTATGTGACAAATGGGACATTTTAATCATCAGATGATTATTTTTTAATATCTTACTTTGCTTCTGCCAGTAATTATAAATTAATGCTTCAGTTTCAAAAATCGTATCTAAAGGTTATGACATTTTTTATTAAACCTCTGTAATTAACAGTTATACACTTAGTCTATTTTTTTATTTTGTCCATGTGATAAATAAAGTCCCACTTAAACAGTTCTGTTGAACAGATGGATTTTTATAAAGAAAGAGGCACAATGCAGTTCATATCTTTTTCAGATGACTGCTTTGGACAAAGGTTCTCGGTTCTTTGAGGGCAGGGGTCATTCACCTGTCCGCCAGCTCCAGCCGGTGGTCAAGCAAAACGGATATGACGACTACGATGATGACGAGATCTTTTAAGTCTTTTATTAAGACTACCATAATTAAGTTATTTTACAACATGTCTTAATTGAGGAAAAAGATATTTTATGACTGGTACTTTTGTAAGATACAAATGTCTCAGTTCAAATGTAATGTTCTAACATAATGTAACAAATAGGATGAAGGCACCAATTGTTGGTACCTTTATGAATAATGTCACACAAAGTCAAATTTAATTTAGAAAAATTTCGGAAATTAAAACAACCCTTGTATATCTATTTGGACTGATGAATGACTGAGCCTTTATCTGGCTTGATGTCTGTTTGATTTACCAAATGTAACTAATATAGCTGGAAGAGACCTCTCTGTAAACTGAAAAGGTGAAAGTTATTAAACCTGTTGACAAGCAAATTCATTGAATTAAAAGCCTTTGAACTGAGAGGTTTGTATCATACTCAAGTACGGTAACATGATATTTTTACTTTGATGAAGTACTGAATTTTGAAATGTAAAAAGTTTGTGAATGTAGTTGGTCCTCTGTTGAATTTGTAGGGACTGCTCATGGCCTCTATGCCTTTCAGGCATAAATGATGAATAATGATGTGTAGAATAAAATGATAGCAAAATCATTTGTAGAATGTAGCAGAAGGCAGTGCTCGTTTTAGGTACTATGTTTATAAGAAGGAAACTGAACCGGTGAATGGAGTTGAGCAGTATTAACTCATGTTGTAAAATAACATGTAAAAATATTTACACACTTCGGATATTATATTTAATTAGAAGTTGATGTGCACTGCCATACAAACAAAGCTACATCTTAGAGTAGTATATATTGTGGCAATATGTTCAAGTGGTCTTGATAAAATCTCTGGGTAAAATTTGGATGACCAAGAGTCAGATTTGCAGCCTAGGAAAATCTTATACCTAAGTGTCCATTATAAGTGTCAGCTTTCAATGACAAGTGCTTTTGCAATTTTAAAAAAAATTTGCACTTCATGGGGTATAGGCAAAGCTTTAAGTCTTGCTAATCACTTTTTATTTTCACCAGGAGGATTGCAGGGTAGAAATCAAACTGACACAAGTTGATGCACAACTGAGACAGAAGCAGTACAGCTAAACTTACATTTTGCAATGTGTGCTAGATTTCAAAGAGAATCAAAGCTTTTTCTCCATTTAAATGAAGGCTATGATTAAAGAAAGCTGGGGCCTCCGCTGAAGAGAGAACACTCTGGCAGTGAGGGTACCTCACTCTTCATCATTGCAACCTTTTTGGGAGCTTTTTTTCTAATCTTTGAAAAGCTCTTTGCATGTTTTTTGCAACTATTATGACTCCAAAGTAAACACTTACACTTTGATCTTTGAAATCACTCTGGGAAGGTATTTTCATCACAATTACTTTAAATACATTATACACAGACATTAGAGTGAGACTTATGAAGATGCTTCCTACTACTAAAACTATGAAGAATTAAGTCAGCCTTCCTAAGTTTCAGGTACCAGAATGTCCTGCTGTTTCCAAAAAGTTCTACCTCAGTGAAGAAAATTTATCTAATTTTGAGGATCTTCAGAATTGTTTTCCGTATCAACCAAGAATTGTTTGGCAGTGCCTCTTATGTGCATGTACCTCAAAGTACTCAATGTACCCACCAGGATGTATTTAACAATGACATGACAGTTCAAAGTTGAAGAATCTCGCATACTCCAAGTGCAATATGTACATAGCAGGCTTTTGTCAGCCGTGGATGTAATATACCCTTATTGTATAATTTGTAAAAGTGGATGTTATTTTGTCTTTAGATTTACAATTGTAAAGCATAGAAGACGATGCTGCTTGAGGTCTGCTCTGTGCAAGAAACCAAGGAAAACTTCTCAGCATTTTATCGAGTCTCAGAAATGGATTGTCTGTCTCTAACAAGTTTTAACTTGTTAAAACAAGAAAAAAATTATATATAAATTCAATATCTGTCTCATTATCTGCCAGTTTAATTTTGCTTATGTTGTTTTATATAATATATGACCTGTGATCTGTTGTCTTACGTGTCTTTGTTTGTATAATAATCAGCATTGTTTGCCTGCCATCAAGACAGTAAAATATTATTTTAGGACCATATAGTCTCAGTGCTGCAACTTTTGTATTTGGGCACCCTTATAGGGGTGTTGGTAATTATAGTCTTTGAAGACAAAATACACTTGGAAACAAAGCTTTTTACATTGATCCATGTTGTACAGACATGTAAAGCTACAGCAATGTTATGTTTATAATGTGTGACTAGATTTTAGTCAGTGAGTTTTAGACTTATCATCAGATTTATTTTTACTGATTTTATATGATATGTTACGCATGTAATGTAAAAGTTAAGCATCTTTGGACCATTTTAGACTTCTTCACGAGGATTTATTGATATTGTGCCTATGGTTTTTGTAGGTTTGTCTCGTATTAACTTGAATAGGTTTATTGCCTTACTGTGAAATTGTGTATTTGTTTTAAAAACCCTCAAATTCAGTTCCATGACATTTTGAAAAATATTTATACATTAGATATATTACTGTTTTATCTGTTCAAATTGCACAGGAGCACTGAAATGTTTGAACCAGTATGTTTGTATTTACCGAAAGGATAATGCAGGCAGGATGAGAGTTCAGATATGCCTTATCAAGGATACCAATTTATTTCCCATGTGCAAGACTGAAAATTCTGTAAATTTAGAATCGAAGTTTGCTATTTATTATAGAAATTCCAGTAGCGTCTCTTATTGTGGCCAGTTACATATTACACGCACAAGTGTTGTTATTGCACTTTGCTTCTGTGACTGAAAGTAATAAAATATAAGTGTTGTTTGTATGTATTTTATTCTAGAAGTGATCAGACTAGCACTCTTTTTGTGCATTTAAAGTTCTACAATATTTGTTAGTTCCAATCCAAATTACAATTATTATAAAAGTGCTCAACTAATCTTATGTGATAGATACAATACGAGTCGCCGAGCTGTACGTGAAATATTACGAGTGTATTGGCGAGCCGCAGGCGAGACAATACACGAGTAATTTTCACGTACAGCTCGGCGACGAGTGTTGTATCTGGCTTAAACCATGGTCTTTGATTGGCTACTACACTAGTAGTGCAACAGACCGTGGAACGCACTCGTACATGACGTGCTTGTATGTCGAATACAGCACGGCCCAGTCTTTTGTTCTACGCGCTAGCCGTGGTTTAATTGTTAGTATAAGGGAAATTCTAAATCCAAGTAAATCAAGCCACACTTTGGTCCAAAAACTCGAGACAATTCATTAAATGTAAATGGGTGGTTCATGGAATGTTTCAAAACTGCCAAATACTGACATACCTACTGTAATACAGTATCACCATCAAGTCTTTTCTTACTTTTTTGTAGTCACAAAAAGCATTACTTATGGCACATTTAGTGTTCTTAGAGCTAGTCAAATTGATTAGAATTGGAATGGCTAGTATCCTTGACTAAATATTGCTGCACATTTTTTCCCAGCTGACAGAGACTAAAAACTTGATCTTGAAAGTAATGAGCAGTTTACAGTGTCCCTGCCACTACAAAGTTCCTGTCTCTACAAACAGAAAGAAACAAAATCCAAAACAAACCAACCAATTAATATTTAGTTACGAGCCACAACTAGCAAAAAGCAAGTGTTATCAAAAGCAAATAAGAAAAATTATTTTCAAGCTCAGTAGAAAATAACAAAATTGTAAAAAGCAAACATATTCAATAAAAAATCTAAATAATGCAGTTATTATGCCCCACAGAAGTTACAACACTAAATCAAGTGCAATCCATACAAATATAAAGTGCACAGAAAATATCAGCTAATAACATCGCTCTTCATGTCCAATATGGAATATCACCTGTTGCCAGAATATGTCCATTATAATTTCCCCACAGTTAAAACTGAACCCAACCCATCTTCAAATAGCATTCTTTGGTAATGTTACAGACACTTAAACGTTGTGCAATGCTCCAGCTTGAGATTCGATGAATATATTTAAAAATTTCATTGCCCCCTCCTGCATATTTCAGCCATCTTTACTCCCACACAAAGTAACTGGCTATTCCACAGTCTGCTCGGTGCGACACTTTTTGTCCACCTTTTTGAGGCCCAACCAGGTGTTGAGTTTGTTAGCGCGTAGGCGGGACCAGATTAAGTGGTCGTGAAGGGACATTATCTGTGCCGCCATCAAACCTGCAGCCTCGGGAGATATCACTGTTGAACAGCCAAGACCTGAAATGGAAAATTTAAAGAAGAAAGTTACTATCACAAATATTATTTGGCAAAGCATTTTTCCAAAAATGAATAAATGGTACATTTTGCACCATGACCAATTAAAAACGGAGTACAAGGGGTAAAGGAAGGACGCTTCTCTGTATATGTTCCTAATCCTATCACAGAAAATTTAAAGCAAGAATTTCTTAACTGCAAAAATCTCTCTAGACTTTCTTTACACTTCAAAAGGAGGAAAAGAGGGAAACCCTTAAGGGAAAAATATTGCCCTTACCCTCCCCTCTCCCCCTGAACTTATGTATTTAAAGGTATAATAACTCCTCGTTTCGGCCAAAAAATGAATTTTCCTGGAGTAAACAACAATTTTCCCATACTTACCAATGGTTAATGAATCCATTTTAACATTCAAAGTTAGTCCCTGGTTTTTTTCTAAAAAGTTTAATTTTTTGTTAAAATCTCTTAAGAGATTTTAACAGAGTATAGCCATCAATGGGGGTCACGTGGTCTAAAGACAAGCTCAGATATCAGAATAATAGCTATAACTGCTGTTTTTGTGGTCAAACATAATATATTATATTTCTATGAGTTATTCACAATGTGTTTATTGTGAAATATAGATCTCATACGAAGAGTTATTATCCCTTTAACTTTATAGATACAGAATATAATCAATCAGAAAATCAAATAAAACTCACAAATATAGAAGTAATATGTAAATAAATATCACTCTAATGTCAATTTCAACCTTTAGAGAATAATTTTCCTTGTAAAAGTGTAACTTACCAGAAGGCAGCCTCAAAGATGACCAAACATCTTCATTCCCCCAATCAGCCTTAATGGGTGGGCAGTTGATGACTGGCCAGCTGGCATTGCCAGACAAGACTGGACCAAGACCATTGCTTCTGCCAGCCACTGCTATAAACACAGTGGGGATATTTTCACCTGAAATGTGATATTTGTGAAGTGTAATTTATGTACTCTATAACTGGAGTTGTAGCCTATTTACTCCTCATGGACTAAGTATGGACATTTTCACCTTTCATTCAACAGTGAGCAATAAGTACTAAAATAGGTTAATTAGTGTTTTTTCTACAGGACCAATAATTACCATCAAAACCATTATATTCTGACACATTTAAACACCAATTTTTTTTTTCAAGATTTTTTAACTATGAAAAATCAACTAGACATGCATAATTGATGAAGTCAAATCAAGGAAATGAAACAAAGTTGTTACATTTCATTACAACCAATTTCAATACTTAAGTCAAACAAATTTGCACAATGACCCCAAACTAAATTTAACCAAACTACATTACCTTCATATTGAGCCAAAATGTTCAAGGTCTCATCCGTCCCTTTGTGAGCAGACGAAACCCTCATCTCACATGGGAGGCCATATTTTTGACAAGTTTCAGCTATCTTCTGACTAAAGGCAAAATCCGAGGGAGAACCCATAAAGACCACTGCTCTGCAGTTTGGCTTTGGGGTCAAATGCTAAAAATATTAAAGCAAATGTCAAAACTGAGTAATTTTACTAAAAAGACATATCTCAGTACAATGTTCTAAAGGATGGGATGATTGTTCATTGTCTAATGAAAAAACTTGAATCACATGTTATCCCAATGAATTAAGTTTATATAAAATCATTTAGATACATATGCAAGACTTTCTTTCAAATAACAGGTCACCTTAAAAGTCACTGATCTAAAATGATTGTCCAATATAACATTTATTTATTATCAACTAAAATCATGGTGAATTCCAACAGGTATTTATTTGCCAAGTTTTTAAAAGTTTAAATTAACAAATTAATCTGAGAATTCCACCTACGTCCAATCTTTCTGCCACCCACTCAAAGTTTCTCTTCACTAATGCCAGTCCCTCCTCCGTGACCTCGGCCATGTCTCTGTACACCTGCTTGTCCTTCATCAGGCGTTTGTCACCAGAGGGCCACAGCCGCCAGGAGTCGCTGTCAATGATGTCAGCCAAGACAATCTCACCTGATTTACAGGATTGAAAATAAAGTGTATGACAAATGCTAGTTTAATTTGAAGAAAATGATTTGGCTAATATTCTTCAAAATAATGTCTTGTTTATTATACAAGTACATAATGATTAATTATTCTGAAAAGTGAGTCGACTTCATATCAGGAGCCTGTATGGAAGCAACAAAATATATATTGTGTGGGTACCTAACAAATTTGTATACATTTCAACAATGCTTTCTACACAGGTCAAAATTTTATCCTGGCTATGACTGTGAATTCATACCCTTGTTATTGACTCCAAACTCTATCTTCATGTCTATCAGGCTGCAATCCAGTGTTGCCCAGGCTTTCTCCAAGATCTCAAACACACAAATGGTCACCTTGGACATCATGTCCACCTCGTCTGGACCAATAAGGAGGCCACCATGGGTCATCTTACTCTCAAGGATCTGTTCCCTTGACCACTGTGGGTCACCAGCAGCATCGTCCTAGAAAACAGGCTTGACCCTTAAATCCATGGGAACTATGATAACTAAATAAAACAACATATGGCAGAACTCCAGATAGAAGCATATTAATTAACTTCTGAATGACCTTTATGGTTCAAATTATGACTAAAACAAATTCATGCTCTATTTTTATTATTTTTTAAGCAAATTAAAAACTAGGATATTTTACATAATGTACATACATATTTCAAAAAAAGAGGTGAGAGATATCTTAACAAGGACAGTGTATCTTTGTAAATGTTTGAAAATAGATGCTTTTTCAGTTTGTTTCCAAAATAATTTTTTCTAATTAAAAAATAAATAAATAAATAAAATTTAATTTTTTTTTAAATCATGCGTACCTTATAAAACATTTCAAGTTTAGGAGGACAGAACCTGTAGCCCTCAGTGACCCCAGGGTTACGTTTGAGAAAGGAACCCGTGGCGACTCTCCTGGTGACCCACTCTATAGGGATCATGTCACATGCTTCGGCAATAAAAGCTGTATCACTGTGTTGCTTGATGAAGTGGGACTTAACACCTGAAAAAAACATTTAACTTTTAATAAGGGAGATATTATAATATAATTTATATATATATATATATATATATATATATATATATATATATATATATATATATATATTGTAAAATATGTGTTTAATTCAGTATTGAAAAGGGCTCTACCCATGGTAGCTGGGAAGCTTATAGAGAAAGAGAAAAATGAACTAAATCAGTCTGTTTGATCTATGTTTATGCCCTACAGCTGTTTCGACCGGAGGCCTTATCAGGAGCACAAGCTATTACATGGCTATGTTTTTACAGATCTGTTTGTGCCCCTGATGAGGCCTCTGGGTTGAAATGGCTGTAGGGAACAATAAATATGGAACAAACAGACGGAACAAATATCACCAGAACAGTTATTGTCACCATAACACAGTAACATGATGCATAATTTCTGAATCAATGCTTTTTGTTTCTCAGGCATTTCAATGTGGCTCAGACTTCAAACTATCTAGACAATTTATTCTACTTTGGTTAATTAAATTCAAAAATGAACCATTTCGAAGGTTTCATTGGGAGTCAGAAATTATCATTAAACTGACAAAAACACTCGACAACAAAAATCATATGCTGCCCTTACCAGCAATAGCCAGTAACTCAAACACCTTAGCAGCAGTTGCCGTGGATACAATAGCTTTTCCTTTCATCTCGTGTTGCCTAGCAGCATTTCCTGCCGTGATCTTGTCCTTTGATTGTAGTAGCACTTTGCCTGGTTGTGAGGTAATCTCATACACGATCTTGGTCTTCCCCTCATTAAGCTGTTTTCCAAGCTTAACTGCATCTGAAAAAGGAAAATTGTTGGAAAAACTGTACAAATGCCAAATATGTGAATAAGTATGAATTTTGTGAGAAACAAAAATTTAAATTTTAATCTTGGCTTAATGGATTGAAATAATAGATCAAAAGCAAGTGTAATATCACCACCAACATTCACCTCCATGGACCCTCACACTTCTTGTAGTTTTGATCTCTGGCCTTTTCACACTGATGTTGTACTTTTTTATTTTTTCAGTCTTTGAAATTGATTTGAGGGGTTTTCCTTTCATTCAATTGGGTAACACAGACTATTATAAACATTTTTTTTAATAATGAAAATAGAAATGTTGTACACACAGAAGAAAAAATGACAAACAAATATCTGTTTTGGCTTCCAATCTTTTTTATTAGCATGTTTACAAAATGGTCAAAGATATGGACAAAAAACAAAATTTTTCTCTGTACTTTCATTTTTGATCTGTGAACATAATTAACTCCGTGCATATTGAATCCATGTCATGAGCAAGGAGTAGGAATCATTGTTGCCACTCATTAGTTAGATGCTGTATGGGAATATATTGTCCTTCTGGAGAGCGCACATGATAGTATTCACTCATGTATGTACATATTCTCCAAAAGCAGTCTTACAGCAAGAAAGATAGGAAAATACAACTTGATGTCTCCCTTACAGCCTTCAATGGATAAAGTCAGCCATAGTCATTTACATGATAACACCCTGAGACATACCTTACTTAAGACACTATGACTGTCAGAAAAACAAAAAAACTCAGAATTTAAAAAGAAATACTATGTTATGCTTAATGTGCACATGTGCGTGTGTGTGGGGTGGGGTGGGGGGGGGGTGGGGGGAGTATGGAATACTGTTAAAGTATCCGGATTTCTAGGGTTCTGTCAGAGTACAATACATTAATAACATTAATCTCTGCAACTTAGGGCCTCATGCATGTACTGTATACTTGAAGTTGAAACTAAGTGAAGCAAGTGTTAATATTTCAATCAAATTTTGGACCTACCGGGTATTGCACTTTGACTATATGGTATACCTTTGTCTGCATTTGGCTCTGTTTTTAATAGACAAATAGGTGATACACTATATGGACGTGAGCCCAATATTTTGTCCAGTTGTTCAAAATGCTCACATCTCAATCTTCCCTGTGTTCTGACACTGAAATATAGTAAAATATACAATATTATTCAAGGTGGGGGATTACGAAAACAGATCAACTATTTATTATATACATTTAAACTTCTGGATACACTAAAGGTGAGGGTGTCGGCACATTATAAGTAACAATTAAATCACACACATCAATCAAGAGAGAGAGAGAGAAACTTAATTACCTGTGGCTGCTCTTGCCAAGCACTTTGGTTTTCCTGTACAAGAACTTCAGCTTCTTGATTTTAGCCCGGCACGCCTCTGGAGATTTGTGCACCCCATGTTCCGTCTGCAGTCGGTCAGAAATCCGCTTAAACACGTGGATGTTCCTCTTTGGGTCACTCTTTAACTGTTCTTGTATGGGGTCATCGCCCCAAACACTGATAAGACTGTTGATTTGATTATGACTCCACCAAAATCCTCCTTCTGACGCCGCCATCGTATGTATACACGATGCGCTCGTATTTTAAACTGAGGGGTGAGGCATATAATTTCTGATCCACTATTAGTACCAAATCTGCTAGACAAAGAAGAGGTACCGTTTCCGCCCCGAGAGCCCGCATGTACAAGCCTAAATGTACTGGCCGTGTTAACGAGCTGAGAGATCGTCTTACATAATAGGCGGTTAAGCTGTCAATGTCTCAAAACATAACGCTGAAGACGCTAAAAATAGAACGTTCCACGTGAGGTTGCCTTTTTGTGAATCGACCGACCAGACACATGAGAATGAACTTCAGCGCCACCTGTCGGGTGTCTGGAAATCATGACCTAACACTGACCCTTGTATGTAACCGATTTTTTGTGCCAATTAATAGTGAAAGGTGTCCCAATTATAATTACTTTTCAATTATTTTTAAAAAGAATTAAAACATGCCTTACCTGTTTTTTCAGACATTTTGGACGGCTCAATTATGGCTGTATATCCTGTTGTTTATTTGCCACAATATACGCTTGAAAGGTCGAGTTGGAAATTTCCACGATTTCGAAATAAACCACTGGATTATGTAAAAAATCTGTATTTTCTTATCGTAGCTCTAAAGTCGTTTTTGATCTAACAGATCAGCAATTTTTGCGCCGTTGTAGTCGAAAGTGCACTCAATAACAGGAGTGGGGGCTCAACCACGTGCGTCTGAAAGAGGTCAGTGGGAACGTCGGGCTAGTCCAAGATAAGGGGTGATGGGTTTTAAATCTACGACGTAAACAAAACCATTTGAAACAAACAAGTAATATTTGGAATTTATTGATTCCATAAAATACAACAGTTTATCTTATTTGGTTTACAAAAGTAAAAAAGATCAGTATGGGGATGTTTTGTTTGCGGTTTTGTCATCATCAATTTAATCCTTTTCCCCCTAATGCTTATCCGAAAAGGTCCATGTGCTTTCCAAACAAGATGAATGGAAAGGAAAGCTAACACAAGCTCTCGCTGGTTGTATTGTACGATCTGATATTTGAATGGCGGAGGCAGAGGGTCTGCAAGAGGCTTGTGGGGTATTTGGCGTGGTGGCGGGCGGTGAATGGCCGACAACGCTTGATGTAGCTCACACGACGGCGTTTGCTCTAGTGGGTCTTCAACATCGGTGAGTTTTCATTACTGACTACATGCAGTGACTTGGCGATGTCAGCCAGTGTGATTTTTATGGTATATATTATAGAAAGTGCTGTGATCTAATTGCTTTAAACCTTTGATTTGTTTAAATGGAAGTTTATCCGTTAACGCCTGATTAAAGTTCCATATAGATCATAAGTGACGTTGGCTTCACTTAATCTATGAATTTTTAAACTATAATTTTATTTACCATGCGCGCGTTGAAAAGAAAGTGAATAATATTAATAAGTAATAATAATAAAAATTATAATAATAATTGTCAGGAGTGTATGTGTAGGGACAAGGAGTGGTGACCATAAAGTTTTTACAATAAATAAAATTAAGAATTAACAAGCCTCTGCGGTGCAAGGTACCCACA